CTTAGGGTTTAAGGTTTAGGGTGTGAAATTTAGGGCACGGTTTCTGTACCTTGAGCCTAAACCCTGGACCTAGAACCCTAACTTCTATCTGATACTTGGTCGTTGTTGCACTTCTTTTTGGTAGTGTCTTAGACCTTGGTACGACAGGTTCCAGAGGGTTCGTTCGGGTGTCCGGTCTCGGCGAACTCAAGGTCTGCATGGTTGTGGGCTGTTCACGACCTTGAGGTTTACGTTTTCTGGGTCAGGGCTCCATATTGTGGGTGTTCAAGATTTCTTCACAGCAATGAACTCTGAGGTGGTTACAACGGCTTAGGTCGTCACGCTTCGTGGTATGGTTTGTGTAGGAGCCTCTTCTTCACTTGGGGGTTTCCGACAATAGGGGACCCTAATATAGTACCCTAAAAAATAGAATCCCTATTGTAAGGACCCCAAAATAAGGTACCCTTAACTTTCTGAAACTCCCACTTTGAAGTTTTGAACCCTGAACCGAAGTCCCTCCCAAAACACCAGAAACCCAAGCCCTAGAACCTTAAGCCGAACCCTCTCCTGACCGTAGATTTGCAAGACCCGGGGGTTTTGGGTCCGTGATGAGAGCCTTAAGATATTACTTGCATGGTCATGGAGCCGTGTTCGGCTCTTTTTAGGCTTCGTGCCTCTTGACATCTACAGCTTATTGCCGATTCTGCGGGATCTCCTCTCCACCACAGTTTAGGGTTCAGGGTTAGGGTTTAGGGTGCCCCGCGTCGAATTCATTTCCGTCAAAGGAATTGCCCCCGTCGACACTCGAGTTAAAATCTCAACGGGGTACTGGTAGGTTGCTTGCAGCGCAGAGTTGAGGATGTTTGATAAACTGAGACGGCTCCCTACGCTTGCACCAAAACAACAGCCACAACAGCAGAAACGAACATGTAAGCAGAAGTGTAAGCAACCACCACCACCACCACCACCACCTCCTGGCTCAAGGTGCAACAAAAGACCAGACATAGTGGATCAAAAAGGGACCCGAACCTTAAGTATAGGACAACCGACAAGATTTAGAATAACATAATACAGTGGAACATACAATAGCATAAAAGTCTATATAAGATAAGCTTAAGCTAAGATAAGATAAGATAAGATAAGATAAGACCAGGCAAGATGTGATAAGATACCACAAAATCAGATGAGATAGGATAAGGTAAGGTAGGGTAAGATAACAAGAAGATAAACGACAGCAGATGAGGCGACAATGAAATGTACAACAACAGCACAGATCAAGCGAGACAACAAGATGTGATTGTGAATTATGTATGTATGTGGATAAGGGGAGACAAGCTAATATCTTGGAGGAAACGGAAAGATAAGATGAGATGAAACGACAAGACAAGCCAAGACAAGATAATATAAGATAAGATCGAAGGCGACAATAAAATACAACAAATGACAATATTAAAAACAGCAAAATACTATGTCATAGCATGTATATGCCATGATATATGGCGAGATACAAATAACGTAAGAATGACAACATAAACTAGACCAGACAAGATACGAAAGCAAAAAACACAACCCGACCTCAGACAAGATTTTATTATACCTGTTGGAATATCCCCCCTAAGCCCTAAACCCTAAACCCTAAACCCTAATCCCAGGCCTCCTGGATCAAGATGGCCGCTATCGTCGAGCCCAGCTCCGCAGAGGCCCAGTCGTAGACGAGCAGTTGAACAGGACTGCTCCCACTGTCCAATTCAAGGAACTTCCTTGGGGGTTTAGGGTTTAGGGTTTAGGGTTTAGGGTTTAGGGCCAAATTCAAGGAACTTTCTGGGTGTTTGGTGGGTTTTGGGCTTCGCCCCAACACCCAAACTCAAAAACCTCCAACTCAACCCTACACTTTCGGTTTGGGGTTCTGGTAGTTCGTTGCAGAAGCCAACCCAAGCTAAAGCAACACAGGGACCTATAAGCCCGAAACCCCAAACCGGGCCCTAAACCCTAAACCCTAAACCCTAAACCCCAAACCGGGCCCTAAACCCTAAACCCCTAAACCCCTAAACCCTAAACCCTAAACCCTAAACCCTAAACTCCTAAACCCTAAACCCCAAACCAGGCCCTAAAC